TTCTAACTGTCTCATGGTAATCCATTAGATAGATGGCATAGTTTATGTAACCAATATCTCAAATTATATCCAATTATTTGAAATTACTAAGAATGCCTTGGTAAGTTTTATTACTAAACTTTTGCCAATAGACTGCATCCATTATCATGTATTTAGCATAAGCTCCCTAAAAGTGGCATTGCTGGGTCAAAGATATTGACTAGTCAAGTTGCCCCCCAGAAAAGTCACATTAATTTATAGCCACATCTGTATTAGCGGCAGCTGCCTGGTTTCCCCAGCACTGAACTCCAGCTTTTAAGAAAATCTCTGTCAGTCTGAATTGTCATTGTGTCAATTTATACTTCTTTGATTACCAGCGAGATAGACCATTAAAAGTATATTTATTGGGGAATTCCCTGGCAGTCCAGTGGTTAGGTGGGGAGGGCATGGCATAAATAAATATATTATGTGTGTGTGTGTATATATATATGCTATGTCTTTTGTGAATTTTTAATTGATTTTTTGGAGTTGTCTATATATTTAACGTATTAAGGTTTGTGACCCTCCTGTCATTTAGGGCATACTTTTCTCTAATTTAGTTGCTTAACTTTTAATTTAGCCTCAGAATTTTGGGTGAAAACATGTGTTTTGGGGTTTTTGTGTGTGTGTGTGTGAGATCTTCGTTCCCCTAGGAGGGATCAGACCTGTGCCCTGTGCGGTGGAAACACAGAATCTTAACCATTGGATCACCAGGGAAGTCCAGAGAATGTATGTTTTTAAGAATTATTTCCAATTTCTTAATTTTGATAAATGTCAAACATATTGAAAAGTATAAATAATAGTATGATAGTATAATAAACAGCCATGGACTCAAGAACTAACATCTGCAATATGTATATATTTGGAAGTAAATTGCTGATATTATTGTACTTTAGTTCAAAATATTTGTCATTCATCTCCTAAGAGTGAGGACAGTCTCCTTCATAACATTTTCAAAACTGAGAAAACTAACAATTATTTCTTATATCATCTTCTACTCAATCCAGTCAGTGCCTTCCAGGAGGACTGTAATACCTGGTTTCATTGACTCTTGATCAAATCATGCACTTCCTTTGATTGTTATGTCTCTTCAGTATCTTTTCAATCTAGAATAGCTCCGACTTTTTCCTGATGCTGACTTACCCGTATCAAGGGCAGTGTGTAGTAGAACGTTCACACTGGGATTTGTCTTTCTTTGTATACTATTTAATTTGTTCCTCTTCCTCCTGTATTTCCCACAAGCTGAAGGCACCTCTGAAGGTCTGGTTAGGTTCTGGTTTAACAATTTTTTTTCAAGAATATGTAAAAAGGGACCGTGTTTCTCCAACTATAATATCTTAACAGTCAATGGGTAAATCCATGGCTGATTCTTGCCAATGTATGGCAAACACCACTACAATATTGTAAAGTAATTAGCCTCTAACTAATAAAAATAAATGAAAAAAAAAGTCAATGGGGAATCTATTTGATGTGCAGATTCTGATTCCATAGGTCTGGGGTGGGGTCCAAAACTGCATTACTAACAAGCTCCCAGGTGGTGCTGATGTTCCAGTCCAGGGACCACACCGTGAGCAGCATGGTCAAAGGTGTTGCTGTGCACTTCATTCTGCCCGGCATCAAGACATCTCAGCATGAGTGATACGAAGTTTGATCCCTTGATTATGGTGGTTATTGCCAGATATTGCCACCCTAAAGTCATCCTTCCCCTTTTATAATTAGAAATCATCTTGGAGTAATCTTTGGCCAATACTTTGGCCACCTGATGCGAAGAACTGACTCATTGGAAAAGAACCTGATGCTGGAAAAGATTGAAGGCGGGAGGAGAAGGGGATGACAGAGGATGAGATTGTTGGATGGCATCATGGACTCAACGGACATGATTTTGAGCAAGCTCCGGGAGTTGGTAAAGGACAGGGAAGCCTGGCGTGCGCAGTCCATAGGGTCGCAAAGAGTCAGACACGACTGAGTGACTGAACTGAACTGGAGTAATCCTGGGGCAATTTGAAGTCATCTCAGGGCACTTGCAGCACAAAAGTTTCCAATTATTTACCACTCTCTACTTCTCCTTTTGTGAAGGAAATGACAACCCACTCCAGTATTCTTGCCTAGAAACTTCCAAGGACAGAGGAGCCTGGTGGGCTACGGTTCATGGGATCACAAAGAGTTGGGCATGACTGAACACACACGCACTTCTCCTTTTGTAATATTATCATGTAATTACTTGTTAATATCTGTTTCTCCGCGCCCCTCCCCCCCCGACAGTATCCGTTTCACTCACTGCTGTCCTGTGATGCCTGGTATGGAGTAGGCATGCAGTGGCTGAAAAAAGAAATGAAATTTGTGATTTCTCTTTGATAATGTATTTAGAAAGCTGTTTTTAACTTAAGCCAATTTGTATTTTTAAAAATAAGTGGACCTGATAAAATAATTCCAAATATAAACATATATAATATAATGTGTTATATTATATGGGATCAAACTTTGCATCACTCAGGCTGAGACAACTGCTCTCATCTTAAATGTCTCCCATCCAGTCTGCCATCTCTGCTACCCACAGTTAGCCACAATTTCCATTTCTTGTGTACCATATAGAAGTACACAAAATTATATACATATATTTGTATCTACTTTTATATTTCTCTTTAATGGAAAACCACCATCACCATTGTTAGGAAACTTGCTTTGTTTGGTTGGCTGGTTTATCTTGGAGATCATTCTGTATCTGTAGATAGATATGGAATGGTTTATGTTGATCTATAGATAGATAGTTCCACCTCATTGTTTTTCATCACTATATAGTATTCTCTGGTACAGATACAGCGACATTTATTTAACTAGTTCCTTATTCTTGGACACTGAAGTTATTTCAAGTGCTTTGCTATTCACTTCAGTTCAGTTCAGTCACCCAGTCATGTCTGACTCTTTGTGACCCCATGGACCCCATGGAACACACCAGGCCTCCCTGTCCATCACCAACTCCCGGAGTTTACTCAAACTCATGTCCATTGAGTTGGTGATGCCTTCCAATCATCTCATCCTTTGCCATCCCCTTCTCCTCCTGCCTTCAGTCTTTCCCAGCATCAGTGTGTTTTCAAATGAGTCAGCTCTTCACATCAGGTATTACCAACAAAATTAATACCCACATGCATATAGTTATATGAATATACATTTTATCTACCACATGAATTCCTAAAAATCCAACTGCTAGATCAAAAAGCGTCTGCATTTGAAAATATTTTTGATGGTCAAATTATTCTCCAAAGAGGCTGCACCAAATGTACACTCTTGTCAGCAGTGGTGTATCCATGATTCTGTGAGTAACAAGCAAGTAGTGAGTACCTAAACCCCTCAGGCAGAGACATTTTCACAGCCGAAGTCTCCAAAGCCAGAAGTCAGGTTGCCTTCCTCCCTCCCCTCCACCCCTGCCCCAAGAGCCAACCAGCCAGAGCTCACTGCCAAGTTCATCTCCCGTGTCACATCCATCACTTCGTCCTTCCCTCTTCACTGTCTTGGCTGCAGTTCAGGTCTTCAACCTCTGTCGTTGGAACCATGTCTGTGGTCTCCCCCTAGGGAGAGTCTTAGGTCCCTAACCAGGTAGCCCAGTGGTAAAGAATCTGTTTGCCAACATAGGAGACAAAGATGCGGGTTTGATCCCTGGGTTGGGAAGATTCCCTTGGAGCAGGAAATGGCAACCCGCTCCAGTATTCTTACCTGGAAAATTCCATGGACAGAGGAGCCTGGCGGACTACAGTCCATTGGGTCGCAAAGAGTTGAACAGAATAGCACACACCCCTGATATAGCTTCCAGGGGGTGGCTGCCAGGTTTCTATATGACTCTCGCCTGCTCAGTGTCCCTCTGGGGCACCCCCTGCCTTGCAAGGAAAAGGCCACCCCCTTGGTCTGGCTACAGATCTGCGTTATCTCGCTCCTGCTTTCTGCATTGTCATTTCCCCTCCTTCCCCCCTTGTGTGCAATTTCCAAACTGTCACTTCCCACGCTCCCTACTGTGTCCCTTGAGGCTTTGGCTTCCTTCCCTGTTGGACCTCCCTGCACAGACCACCTTCCCCTGAACCTTGCCTCCTTCCCAAATCCTTCCCAAGGATTTCCAGGCTCCCCATTGTACCCCCAGGGGAGGTTAGGCTGTCCCCTGTGCTCCCCGCCATGTTATCTCTTGCCCCCCCCTCCCACTTGCAGTATTTCAGGTTTGGACAACATATTCAGATGTCTGTTCTCCAACTAGGACGTGAGTTCCTTGAGAGCAGAAGGGCAGCCTAGTCATGGCTTACCCCCGGGTCCTGGCACGGTGCCTGGCACCACAATCCATGTGGTTGCACTGAACTCTGTGGATGAAGAGTGTGTGTGTGTGTGTGTGTGTGTGTGTGTGTGTAAGGCTGGCTGAGGTCTCAAAGTTGGGAGCGCTGGTGACTCTGCGGTGACAGGCCCTTCAGGATGCAAATCTGGGGGGCGCGGGTGTTTGCATGGAGAGCAGGAAATAGAGCAAGACCCCGAGGAGGGCCGGGCAGGAGGCAGGCAGGGCTCGGTGTTGACCCGGCCGAGGGCTCTCGGGCTTCGGCTCAGAGTGGGACCGGAGCTCAGGGTGCCGAGCGAGGGTGCTACGTCCTTTCCTCCCGGGTGATGGCTTCATGACGCTTTTCTACCAGGAAAAGTACTGGGGAGAGGGAAGGGGGAGGGGGCAGCATCACACACACGCGGCAGAGACCTGGGGGGACACAGCAGCATCTGGAGCGCCAGGAGGCTGAAGTCACAAGGTGAGGGGATGAGGGCTGGGAGAGGCAGAGGGTGGAGATGGGGGGGGTGGGGGGTGGAGCAGGAGGATCGGATTTGAGAGGGGCAGATCTTCCTTCTCCCCAGTGCATGGGGGGGTTGGGGGAGGGCGGAGAAGCTACCCACCCCCAGGAGAGGGCCTCGTTCTAGGCCGGCCCTCATCCTTCCAGCCCCGGGCGCCTCGGGGAGAGGGTGGGATGTCTGCTCCCAGGCTGGGGACCGGCGGGAGAGGCCCGGCGCCGGGGAGCCCAGGCGTCGGCGAGGACAGAGAGGCCTCTAGCGGCCACCTTGGGCAGCAGGCGAGGGCGAGCCGGGAGGGCACTTCCTGCCAGGGCCCGGGGCGGCCCAGTTTCGCAAAGGAAGTTCTGCCAGGGCCGGAGGGGCGGAGGCAGGAAGTGGGCCGGAGGCTCGCGCTAGGGTGCGGCCGGCGGGTAGTGAGAGGCCGCGGCCGGGGGCGGGGGAGGGCCGCGGAGGTGAACCAGACCGAGGCCGCGACCCCACCCATCCTCCGCGAGGCCCCGGACGCCTCCGCCTGCCCACAGCGCGGTCCGGCGGCGGGGCGCTGCCAGCGACGCCTCGGCCGTCGGCGCGCGGCCTGGGTCAACCGCGTTCCAAGTTCTTCCGTTTGGAGCTGAACTTGGCTTCCCTCTAGCTCGCCCCATTCCCCTCCACCCTCTGTGGCCTCACGGGTCCCTCCCCTCCACTCCGGGGCGGAGACCACACCCCTCCCGTCTCCAAATACCTTCCAGGGGCCTCTCCTAGGGTCGCGTTTCAGTTCGCCTCAGAGCTAATACTCTGTGGCGTCCTCCCGAGGCAGGCATTATTTAATCACTTCTGCAAAGAGGGCCTAGCTCCATTTTCCTGGTCAGACAACTGAGGCCAGGACCGGTAGAATTAAATAACAGTCAGATGAACTCGGGCTTCCCTGGTGCCTCAGCGGTCAAGAATCCGCCTGCGAATGCACTCGATGCAAGAGACACAGGTTCCATCCCCAGGTTAGGGGGGAGGGGAAGATCCCTGGAGAAGGAAATGGCAACCCACTCCAGTATTCTTGCCTGGGAAACCCCATGGACAGAGGAGCCTGGTGGGCTAGAGTCTACGGGGCTTCAGAAGAGTTGGAAACGAGTTAGTGACTAAACAGCAAACAGCACAGATGCACTCGGACCCATTCAAAGTTTGTACTTTCAGGCTTGACGCCCCTGGAAGGGTGAGGGCAGCCCTTCCCTCCAAAGGGTTTGCTGAAGCAGTTGTGGCTTCACTGGACTTCCCTCCAAGTTCAACACCCCCCCTCCCCATCAATAACCACAGAGCCAGGATCGGGGGGTGAGGATCTGGTTTCTCTTTAGTTCTTATCAAACTGTGGGGTTCTCCGTTACAGAGAAGGCACTTAGATGGGAGGGTCACCAGAGTCAGACCAACTTTGTCCTCCCTCCCACCCCCAGCTCTCTGGGGGGGGAGGGGGTAATGACATGTCCACCTGACATCCCCCTTGGCACTGGTATGTGGGTCCCCTTAACCGTTAGGCCTTTGGGAGAACCCAAGGCCCTGGCCTCCAGACTCAGCATTTGGAGGAGAGATTCCAGATAAAGGACTCAGAGCTGGAAGGCAGGATGTCCTGGGAGCTGCCCCCAGCCAGCAGGGGGCAAAGCAGAGGGGCTGCAGGGGTGGGGTTGGCACAGGGGCAGGGGACAGCTTGGCCAGGTTTCCTGGAGACCCCCAAACCCCATAAGAAGGGTCCCACCTCCTACAGCTCCCCTAAAGGCACCGGTGAAGTACGGGGTGCAGGTGGGGAGGCACCGGTTAGGTGGTCTAGAGAGAGACCCACACACAAACTCTGAGGGTGGGCCAGGCACAGTGCAGGGCACAGAAAAGGTGCTCAATGAATGATTTTTGAATCAATGAATGATTGGAGCAGAGAAAGTGAGAGGGACAAAGGACAGGGCCTGGGGCCCCTTGGCCAGCCTGTTTCATTCAGAAAATAGTTTAAAAAATGTAAAAATCCTTTCCCTCCTCACCCCCCTAGTTTATGGGCCCAGGAAAGGGGCGAGGGAAGGGTGTCTCTACCTGGACCCTTCTCTCTCCCCCTCCCCTAAAAGTCTATATACACATATACATATTTATATGGCACCGCAGGATATTGCCTGGGCCCCCACACGGAGCTGGGGGCACCAAGCCCCAGGGCCTCCAAGGCAGAGGTGAGAGGTTGGAACTTGGGGCGGTGTGGGAAGTAGCCCTCAGCAGCTGGTGAGCCCAGAGCAGCTGGATTCTGGGGTCCCAAACAACAGACACCTGCTCCCTTCACAAGTGGAAACAGATCAACCCTCCCCACCCTAGGCAGAGGTGGGGTGAGGGCGGTCTGGAGCAGTCCCCAGGGAAGAGGTGGGGAGACTGGGTCCTCCCCCACCAGCCTAGATTGCAGCAACCTGAAGGCTGTTCCGGGCAAAGCTGACCCAGATGGTGGCCCTGGGAAAATCGAGCTGGGAAGAGGGCTCTATGCAAGGCACTTGGAGTTCACTGTTCCCAGGCTGAGGGGGGGCATCCAAGGCAAAGGGCAGCTCAAACCCTGCCCCTCCCCCAAGCAGAACCGGAAGGGCCTGAGGGGCCCAGTTTGGCAGCAGAGAAACAGGGCCGTGCAGAGAGAGAGAGGAAGGAAGGGGGAGTGGCACAGAGCCCCCGGGTCCCCCATGGAGGAGGTTCTAAGGCACTGACTCAGGGACCCAGGGGCTCATCGCCCTCCGTGCAGCCTGCTGCCCCCTCCAGAGCCTGGCCAGGCTGGGGGGGGGGGCGGGGGTGGGATGGGGAGACCCTGCTTCCCCGTGGTGCTGAGTTTTCTTAAGGCAGAGTCCGAGTGAGAGGGGTGCAGATGTGGTCAGGGGCAGGTCCGAGCCCCGTGGCGCCTCACTAGCTACCCGGCCGAGGCTGCCTGAGCACTGAGTACACGTCGTCCACACGGCTGAGCTGCTCGAAGAAGGGCAGGAGGTCGTGGAGCTCCGTGTCACTCATGTTGTCGAACCAGGAGGCCACCGGTACCTGGAAGATGGGGTGTGGGGCGATGAGGGGGGCAGGGGGTCCTGGTCACAGAACATCCAGATCAGCCCTGAGCACCCTCACCCAGTTTCCCAGCAAGTGGCACCGATCACACAAGTCAGAGCGGACGTTTTAGGGAACCATGCTCAACCCTGCGTGTTTGACCTGTCTCTTCAGTCGTGTCTGACTTTTAGGGACCCCATGGACTGTAGCCCGTGGGCCAGGCTCCTCTGTCCATGGGATTCTCCAGGCAAGAATACTGGAGTGGGTTATCATTTCCTCTCCAAAGGATCTTCCTGACCCAGGGATTCAGCCGAGTCTCTTCTGTCTCCTGCATTGACAGGCGGGTTCTTTAGCACTAGCACCACCTGGGAAGCCCTTACCCTATTGTATACTAAGCACTTCGGACAGTTTTGGTTCTACTTAATTCTTTAAAAAAGTTATTTCTGGGATCCACTAACAATTCACAACTGTCAGGATGAATGAAATGGAAACTGCTCTAGTGCCCAGCAAGGGACCCAAACCCACGGCAGGCCCCTGTACATGCAGGCAGAATGGGCTGAGTAACTAATAAGAGACCTGGGGCAACTGTGGATGGACAAGGCGAGCGGACAGCAGGCAGGGGCCACTGAGGAGAAAAAAGAGGGAGGAACGAGAGGGACCAGACCCCCGCAGGGCTCCAGCCCCCATCCTGCCAGGCACTCACGGCGTTATCTGGATGGAAGACGTAGGAGGCGGGCGAGTTGTCCAGGATGAGCACGCGACGCAGGTCTCGGCCCAGTCGGCTCAGGTCCTTCACGTAGTTCCCCCGGTGGAAGACACACGACTCCCGAAACAGCCGTGCCCGGAAGGCCCCCCACTTGTCCAACAGGTCAGCTACGGGGTCTGCATACTGCGGGGCAGGAGGTGGGTCATCGGGGGCGGGGAGGGCGCCAAGAGGAACCCAGAGGCCTCTGCCCAGAGGTTGTGTGTCGGAGGCAGACAGAAAGCAGAGGTGCCCAGGGAGCCCTGTGGAGGGTGGAGGGCTCACCTTGGCCAGGCTGGCGGTGAACAGCACGCATTCGAAGAGCTCACCCATCCGCTGCAGGAACTCATCGACGTGGGGCCGCTTCAGCACGTAGACCTGGGGGGTGGGCCAGTGAGGGGACTGCTGGCCCGTGGGCCTGGGTGGGGTGGGGCAGGGTGGGGTGGCCGGGGGCTGGGCAGGAGTTAGGTGCAGGAGGCAGAGGAGCACAGAAGGGTGGCTGGTCCCAGGGCCTGTGGGCTCCACGTGGTCAGCCACCCCCACCACTGCCAGGTAAACCACCCACTGTCCCCGAAGAGGATCAAATAACCTCCGACTTCTGTCTTCAGGCCCTACCTCAGAGGGAATCACTAATTCCCACCCCTTCCTCCGCCAGGGCCTCGGCCAGATGCGGGGGCCTAGGGCAACCCCCTCACCCCAAGGCTGCAGGGCACCGGCCCCCGAGCCAAGTAATGGAGAACAGGCTGGACAGCACACAACCTATCCTGAATTACTTGAACTGGGTCCCGGGCAGGGTGGGGGCGAGGGGGCACCGAGAAAGACCCCCCACCCCACTCCCTGCAGGCCTTGGAGCTGGGCCAAGTCCCTGAGGGTCTGTGTGACCTCAGGTAAGTTTCATACCCTCTCTGGGCCTCGGACATTCCATATTTATCAAAATCCCACCTAGAGCTCTCAGGACTGGTGGGAGGAGCCTGGGGTCTGGAAGACAGATGCCAACCCTACCACCTCCCCCCCACCCCCAGCCCCTCACCTGGTGGACCACCCCATCAATCTCCACAGGAATGATGAAGTCAGCATTGTTCACTGGCTGCAGGGGGAAGAGAGCTGCTGGAGCTGGGGCAAGGCCAGCCAGGACCACCCTCCCAGGCCAGGCCAGGGTCAGTGTGACCTCAGCCAAGTCTCACACCCTCTCTGGACTTCTGACAATTCCACATTTATCAAAATCCCATCCAGGGCTCAGAGACCGGGGCCTGAGGGCTGCTGGGCGGGGGGCCCACCTTGAAGGAACTGTGCACCAGGGTCTCGTCCAGGTCGATGACCACGCAGATCTTGTCCGAGTCCTGGGCTTTGGCCTCAGGGAGCAGGTACTGGACTGGGGTCTGCTGTGGGGACAAGGGGGGAGCTGGCTGCTGCCACCTCTCTGAAGTCCCAGTCATTTCTCCTCCCCCAGCCCTCTTCCTGGAGAGCCCCAAGGATAGAGTGGAGACACCAGCTCCTTCCCAGCTTGGCCCCTGCCAACTCTGGAGCCTGGGGTAGGCTGCCTGGCTCTCTGGGCTTCACTTCCTGACCTGGGAAACCAACGCAGAGGAAAGCCTGCACTTCTGAAGGGGAAATTCAGAATCCTCAGGGCTAGGGACCCTCGGAGGCAGTCAGGGTTGGGAAGGCCTGGGAGGGTGGAGGGCTTGGTGGGGGGGTAGGGGGGCTTCACCCTCCTCCACAGGGCCTAGCAGCACGCCATGAAGAGCCCCCTTCCCCTATACCCCCCGAAGGGCTGAATCCAGGTGCCCCCATAGCCCCTACTTGGCCAGCACGCACCTTGGGGACCGCACCATTCTCCTCCACGAGCAGGGGTGCCCCGCTGTGGGCGGGCAGGGCCTCCGCGTCATCCCGGCAGACACAGCAGAAGAGCGAGTGGAGGATGCCCCTGCTCCGGGGCTTCTGAGAGGCTGCTGACTTCTGGTCACCTAAAGCAAGGAGGCCCAAGGTGGGGGCGTGCACACTGCCTGGCCTGCAGGGCTGTGCCTACATGCCCGGCTGCCAACCCCTGGGCTGAGAGGATCTGGCCATGCTACCTTCATTGAGGGATACACACTAAGGTGGCAGCCTGACAGTCTTGGCTCCAGGCCACCCCTCTGCTCCCCACAAGTTCTTCTAATGTGGGTACAACATCACCCACATTAGGGAGTGAGCTGGTTGGAGGCTGGGACAGGAGGTGTTTTCTCTTCCCAACAGTTTCCATCTCTGCTAGGGGAGCAGTGCATAGGGGCACCTCCTGACACGCACCGGACCTGAGCAGCCCCTGGTCAGTGGGGCCCCTACCAAAGAGGGCTGGGGCTTGGGGCTCTGGGGCCCACTCCCGCCCTCCTCCCATTCTCCGCCTCCAGAGGTCCAAAGTCCTCCCTGAAGCTGGGCCCAGACACAGGGGGCGGGGGCTTGAAGCTAGTGTCCTGCGGCCATCTACTGGCCCCTCCTCCTCCGCCCCCACCCGGACCTCCAACCTAGATCCCGCTGAAAGACTGGCCCACACTCCACCGACCCCCTATCCAACTCCCCCCGCCCCCGACCCCGGGCGGAGCTAGGTCCTGGCCACAAGTGGACAGACCTGGAGGGACTTCCTAGTCTCAAGTCCACACCAGGACGGGGAGAGGCAGACCCCCTAGACCAGAACCATCAGTCCCGGGGCGCCCGGCCGATGCTGGCGGCATTGGCTGCGTGTATGCACAGACACGGTGCCCACCGGCTCCGGAAGCCAAGTGCGCGGTCCGATCACGCGTCTCCTGCGGGCGCGCGGGCGATCCTTAGAAGTGGTTGTCTCTCTCCGCGCCTCCACGCGGGACGCGGAAGTTTGTGGGGAACGTGGCCCTGTCTTGGCGGGAGATCTTTCCAACCCTCCCCCGCCCGCTGTCACCTCTGCACCCCCTCCCGCGACCCAGCCAGACCGTGGCCCGGAGGGGGCGGAGTCTCAGCTGGTGGCCTGAAGGCGCCCTCTTCAGCCCCCCATCTCCCAGCCCCCTTGGCGCCAATGGGGGAGTAGGGGGGGACGACTCTTGGGCCTCGCGCACACCCAGTGTGGGAAACCCGGAGGGCGCTCCGTGTTCCACCCCTGCCTCAGTTTCCCCACCTCGAGTAGACCGGAGCGCCCCAAAACGCGCCAGGCCCCGCCCCGGGTCTCCCAAGTCTCTGCAAGTTCAAACTCTCACCCAGCTCCCCCTCCGGTTGGAAGCTTCGGGTCCCGCCACGGCGGGAGCCCTGGGCGGCTGCGGCAACTGTCGCCCCCGAGAGGGTCCCGGCCCCCTCCTCTTTGCGGCGCCCGGTCTAAGCGCCCTCTGCGCGCCCCAGTACCTTTGCTCCGTAGCGGGCTCCGCGCTTCCTCCTTGCTGATCTGAGTAATGACGGCCGAGCTGTCCATGGGGCCGGGCGCGCTCCGCTCCGGCCGGACTCTGGCCCGGGAGCCCGGCCTCCCCCCCGGCTCGGGCCGGAATCGGGGCGCGGGGGGGAGGGGAGGGGTGGGAGGGAGGGATCCCCGCGAGCTTCGGAGGGGAGGGGAGCCAGGTTCTAAGGGGGAGGGGGAGGGAGGGGGCGCGGAGGAAACTTTGTTACAACATGGAGTTTCCTCCCCGCGAGGCGGATGCAAACATGGAACCCGGGCGCCGTTTCAAGGCTCCCCCTTAAAAGGGCAACGGCTTCAGCGTGACCTAGACTCGGCCGGGGCTTTCATCACTTGAGGGGCCGGCGCTGCTCGGCGGGCAGGGAGGCGGGCCCGGCCGGGTTCCTGCCGCGCTCCCGGGGGCGCCGCCTCCTTTCCCACCGCCCGCCCACCAGCCAGCCCGCCAGCGAGGCCAAGCCTCTGCGGCTGCGTGGCAAGGCCGACACCCCGGCCCACGGTTCTCCGCGCAGAGCGGCCCGGGACCAGGGCCCGCCCGGGGCGCCCGTGCCCGGGAGTGCCCCGAGGCAGCGCGACTCCACCTCTGAACATTCCAAAGGTCGGGGACTGGCAGCCTCTCGGTCTTCTCATCTGGGAAATAGGGATAACACCATCTGGTCTGAAAAGTGGGTCTTCTCTCCGGTAGTCGCAGGGGAAGTCGTGAATGTGCAAAGTCTCTGCTGCACCTCCAAACGACTATGCTGAGCCACACAATTAGATCCCTAACCGGACCGTGACCTACCCGCAGTCTCGGGCTCTTTTCCCTAAACCCGGAGCTGTAGGGCGCAGAAATTCCAGCTGTCTGCCCCAGGGTGCCCCCTGCCGACCTTTCCTCAACGGGCGCCCGGCCACGTCCACTCCCCATGCCCACTCCAGCCATCCGGCTTTCTCGCCTGAAGCCAAGGGCCTCCACGCCTCAGGGCCTTTATACGTGCCGTTCCTTCTGCCTGAATGCGCTTCCTACTCCTTCGCATAGCCAAATTCCACCGACCTCGAAGAAATGAAACCCTCCTTTTTCCCAGGCCCCTTCCTCTGCTTCCCACCCGCCGGCCCCTCTGTAACTGCTGGGGAGGAGACATCAGGCCGCGGCCCCACACAGTGGGACTCGATGCCGGACCGTGGGGACCACGGACATCCACCGGCACACCCGGTCCACTCGGGTCCGTGCAAACTCGCCCCGGGCATGGGGCCCGCGTTTCCACGCGGATTCTTCGCGAGCAAAACTCCCGTGTGCTGCGCGGTGAGGTTTACGGGCGGGGTTTGTTTGGCTTCTTTTTTTTTTTTTTCCTTGTCTATGAAGTTCTTTCTACTTGTTATTACTGTTTTGTGTTCACATTTTAAAAATATTAATAACGCCAAGCCTTGATAAACACGCCCCAGCACTTCCTTCCCCCGCCGGCCGGGGCGGGGCGGGCGCGTCGTGTCCCGTCCGGCCGCCGGGTGCGAGCGCGGCGCGCTTTCTCCCGGCCGGGCGGAGGGGGCGCCCGGGAAGGAGAGGCCCGGCGCGGGCGGCGGGTCGGGAGCAGAGCTGGCCCCAAGGCGCGTCCGCTTCGGGCCTGGGGTCCAGGGCGGGGTGGGGAGGTGGTCGGGGGCTGTGGATCCACTAGACAACACGACTCGCCCTCTGCTTTTAGTCACAATTATCGCCAACGTGCTGTGAGCACTTACGTCTGAGTCCGGCTGTGACTGTGCCCTTCATCTCATTTAACGACTCCTTTAAAAACCCGTTTTACAGATAAAGAAACTGAGTCCCGTCTAGTGAGCGATTCGGTCCGCCCTGCGGCAGGGACTGAGGTGGGATTCCGGCCGTCGGGCGGAGCCCCCTCCCCTGCGGTCCGGCCCCGGGGAGGCGCCTCGACTTTATCTCCGGATGCCCAGCGGTGCCGACCCCAAAAGGAAATGGGCGGCGGAGGGCTGAACGAACCCCTGGCCTCGTCTCTAGTCTGAGCAGCTCGCCTTCCTTCCCCGCACCCCCCCCCCCCGGAGGCTGGAGCCTGGAGCCTGGCCGGCTGTCCCTTCGACGGTCAGAGGAGCGGGGATAGGGCGGGCTGGACCGCGCCTCCCCCAGCCCGCCCAGTAGCTATTCCCTTCACCTTCGGCCCCTAAGACACACCCCTATCGTCCCCTCCAAGACTTCGAGGTTGTTGACGCCTCCCAGGAGACCTGCCCTACGCCGCTTACTCCGCCCCAACACCCCCCCATCCCCCGGTTTCGGGGCTCGCCAAGGTGCCCCTTCCGCCCGGGCGGGGTGGATGCGGACTGAGTCCCGACACCTGGGCAGTGCGGGCTCTAGGGGTCTGTGGGGACTGAGTTGCCGGTGGAAGCGTTCTGGAGGGTGGGGCGGGTTCTTCGGGTTTCCCCGGGAAAGGAAACACACACCCAGCTGCTGACTCCCTACCCTCTCTGATACAGAAGCTGGGGGTCGTCGTGCGGTTTATTTTTATGTTACGTTGGTTTGCACTCCAGGAGAAATCAAGTCATGGGGACTGTGAGCCGAGAAACACTAGGACTCAGCCAGGCTCGGTCTGGCAACTCGGGACATCATCCAGCATCTCAGCTTCCCCCTCTGACAGCTGGGGTCCCACCCGGGCAAAGTGGGCAGGCTGAGAGAAAGACAGGAAGCCCTGCCCCGAGACCCCAGGCACACCTGGTGTACCACAGGGCAGGGTGGATGCGGAGTGAGTCGGGGGTCTGGGGGTGTGTAGTGATAAGAGTTGTGGGTGGAAGCTTTTGGGGAGAGTTAAGGTGTCAGGCCACTCCCAGCTGGAGGATTCTCTAGTTAGATCTGAACACGGCGGTGCGGGGTGAGGGGGGTAGGCTGGGAGGACCAGGGCTACTGGGAAAGGGGCAGCCTTTTGGGTAGGGAGGGGTCGGGGCAGGGAAATGACTGGCCTTGGCCTGACCTCATGGCTAACCTCTTACCCAGGCCCAGGGCCACCCCTCAGCTGGCCCTTTGGTCCCCTCCCTCTTCCTTTCCCCGCAAGTTCTAAGTTCCAAGCTTGACTGCTCATGTGACCAGGCCTGTTTCTCTGGGGAACTCCCAACAAGGCTGTGTCTCTAGCTTTTGCACACACCGATACACAACCCCAACTCCTGGCATGCTCACCTCCCCCTTGAGAGTTCCCCCTCCATCTATTCAGTTTTCAAAATACTGTCTAGTACTTGATTTTCTCTGGACCTTGCCTCAATTTTTGCACGTGTGCTGACACTGTTACCGGTTTGTTGTGGTTTACTTACCGCCCAACTCCGCCAGGTAGTCTTTATTTAGAGACTGTGCCTCCCTCCCCCATGTCCAGCACAGGCCTGGTGCCCAACTAATGCCTAGAGAATTGTTTAAAGATGTGGACAAGGGGTACAGCTGGGGGCACCTCCGGGAATTAGGGAAGAGGGTCTCCCTTTTCTTGGCTACCTGGCCCCCATTCATCCCCTCTTCCAGTTCCCGTGGGCCCCATCTTCTCCAGGGCCAAGCCAGGAGAAGAGGATTGGGCAGCTTTCTAGTCCGGGTATCTCGCCACCGTTGTGTAGGGTGAGCCAGACCTGTCCCATCCCAGTCCTCTTAGAGGGCCCCACTTGTTTTGTTGCCCTTTTAAGAAAGAGGAAATTCTTCTCATAAACAAGCGCCTCAACCTGAGCGCTGAGCCCGACTGCCAGCCCCACTGCATCCCCGGGAAATCGGGGGTGCTTCCAGGCACACCGCCCACTCCAAGCTCAATCCAGGGGGAAAGACTGGCGGCCCCTCTTCGCCGCTGCTCGCCACCGGGGCTGGGGGCGGGGGTGGCGGGTGTCCCAGAGACTGGAAGAGGCCGGAGGAAGAGACTTGGGGGAGCCTAGAAACAGCTCAGGGAACGTCTGTAAAGTGCAGTCCCTGCTAGGGGCGAAGGGGCACCGGCCCCACTCCCTACGGCCGAGGGGGTTCCCCGCCCCTCACGAAGCTCACCCCCCACCCTCCAGCCTGGGCGGATTCCGAGGCCCTCCGGCTCGGGGCCGGAGTGACCGCCTCCTCCTCTTTGGAGGCGGGGAGTACCGGCGCTCGAAACCGTCCCTTGCCCCTAGGGGGAGCTGGGAGACAGCGCCCTAGGAGCGTCTACTGCGCGGCGTGGGAGTCTCGGCCGCCGTCCCTGGGGAAATGGCAAATGAATTGGGCCTCGGAGGCATGGACTCTTGGGTTCTTTATGACCTGGTGCCCGAAGAGAGGGGAACCACGCCCTCGTTCTACTGCCTGGAAAAGGGGTTTCGGGTGGAACCGAATGTCTGAGGCCACTCCAGTGAGAGTAGGAGCGAGAGGCAGACATTCGAGGAGGGGGATACTTGTTGATGGTTCAGGGATTTTGTGCTTGCCTGTCTCCGTTTCCCTTCTCTTTTGGATTAAGCGGTGAATTAGCATTTATTTGGGCTTCCCCAGTGGCTCAGCGGTAAGGAATCCGCCTGCAATGCAGGAGATGCAGGCGATGGCGGTTCCCTGAGTAGGGAAGATCCCCTGGAAGAGGGCATTACAACCCACTCCAGTATTCTTGTCTAGAGAATCCCATGGACAGAGGAGCCTGGTGGGCTGCGGTTCATAGGGACGCAAAGAGTCTGACACGACTGAAGGGGCTAAGCACAACGGCATTTATTTAACATTTTCAAACTCTTATTTTTAAGTCAGTTTGGAGCCTGGGTCCTGCCCTGGACTGGGTGGGTCTGTCAGATCACTCCTGTGATAGTGCTCAGTAAATACTTTTGGAATTATGATTCTTTTGTTTTTAAATCTGAAGTGCTAGGCTCTGCGTTCTAGTGTCTTATTTACAACCATTGCAAGGTAGGTGTCCCCATTTTATAGTCAAGAACACTGAGATCTGAGCTAGGAAACAGCAGGTCCCTATGGAACTCACGTTGTCCGGCTTCCAGAACTCCCTCTCCGTCTTGCTGTGGGTGACCACACACACACCCTTGTCTGGCAAGCCACTGTGCCCACTCATCCCACCTGTGGCCAGGCCCTGGTGGGA